TAGACGACTCCCCGTGCGCCAAACCCACCCTTTCCACATGCAGCGGCACCAACACAGCATCAATAATGAATCCAGATGTCCATGTTGCAGGGTAAATGTGGAGCGATCGCGCCTATATTTTTAGGCGTTGCATTAATTTCCAGCTTCCGCGGATCTCACAAGGAAAAAAAAAACAGAAAACAGAAAGAAAACCCGCCTGATTGGCAGCGATGAGAGAGCCTGCAACTGACTGTAACAGAGCGTTCTGTGCAGCAGCTACATATTATTTATGTTCTCTGCAGTGCCGTCAGTATACGTCTTGAGATTTTAGAGGTTCGTTTCAGAGATTTTAGGGCAGTTCTGTACGCTGGGACTCATCACTGCTGCATGTTATCATAGTGTGGGGACAATAAGAGCTTCTTGGGGGTGGGTGGGGGTCTGATTGTAGGAACATAAGCACCCCTCTTCAGATATAACCCCCTCAACACACATCTCTGAGCGTGTGGTACGGCGGCCATGTCTGTATTACATGGGAATCTGTTCTGCTGTGTTGTTTTTTGTTAATAAGGCTTGGTTGTCTCACATTCAGCAAGACAGAAAATATGTTCAGTTGTGCCACATGATTAAACAGTAAACTCATCTCTACATAATGGAAACTCTTCAGACCTGACACAAGCAGCACTAAACCCAGAAACTTGTCACATACTTGATGGGCACAGAAGACTGATTTGTTTAGTGGATTGGGCTTTTTTTTTTCCCCCCTATCCAGTCAAGACATCAAACACAAGTTGTTGTTTTTTAAACATGCACCACCATCAGAGTTTTGAAAAGTCTTTGCACTCATGCTGTCAACTAGAAATTCTCTATTGTGAAATGCTGTTTTACCCTTTCTGGCCCTTTAATGTTCTTTAAATCTGACAACCTGAGATGTTGACATCAACTTTTTATATGCTGCAATTTTAGGCGTCCAAGAGAAAAAACGAAATTGCTGCTCATATGTGCATACACTATAATAAAAATATAACTTGAGCTCCTCTTCCCCATTTGAATTGTTGTTGTTTGAGAATTCCAGTGCAATGTGGCCAACTTTGGCAAAACAGCTGAATGATGCCATGCCGTATACTATTTTTTCTTTAACTGTCCCTCGTACAGTGTTACATGCCTACAAATCTATCACACAATTAAAATGTTAAAGATATCTTGCCCAGTTATATACACTGTAAAACATTTTCCCCTTTCTGATCCTTAGATATTTAATTTCCCACAAGAGTATTGTTTTGAACTTACCAGTCACTGGCATCATTTATGATCATATTCTTATTATGCAGAGATTATGCAAAGAAGTGGCTCCATGGTCTGAAAACTGATAAAACAGAAGCAATAACCCAGAGGATGTAAAAGTCACTGTTTAAACACAGACGGAGATTCAGTGTCGCTGACAACAGTTTCCCCACCTGATGGTGGAGCGTATCAAGATTCCAGGGAGTCAATATGGTGCTAACTTGGATTGATCCTGAACATAGCAGTGGGCAGTCTTCAGACGGTGTTCAGACCACCTGCGTTGTGTGAGACACTGATCAAAACATAATTAAACAGTCTGTACTTGTTGTCATCTGTTGGCACTAGCACGTGGTGTTAACTTGCAAATGTACAACTTTCTTTTGTTTGATAATGCGTAACGAAAAGCAGGTGACCTACAGCTCAGTGCTGCTTTTCCGCACTGATAGAGGACTGAAACTCCCGCTGCTCTGATAATGCGCTTATGATACTCCTTCTCTGTACATATGGACTTAAGGGTAAGCCAATCATGCAGGGGAATCTCATGGCAAATGTATGAATATCATAGAGGAGGAAACCAGTGGAGATGTGACAACCAGAGATAACAGATTGTTGTGAAATTTGAGGATTTGTAGCAATAACAGGACAAACAATAGCTAGTGATGGGAAATGGGCACTTATCACTTATTTAACTTTGAGGTGAGCAAAACTAGGCGTGAGAACTACTGTTGACTGACATGTGACAGGCTGCGAAATATACCAGAGGGTTACGTAAGCACCCACGCCTGGAATATCCAGTAGCAACTAGATGTCAGCAACAAAAGGGATATCACTTTATATGGGAACACGGCTTAAGGCTGAGGGATATTTTTACTGTTGGCCATCAGGATGTCAGATTGGAGTAACGGCTGTCTGTACTTTCCTGGGACTCAGGGTGCCAGATTTAAGTATCTCACTGGCAGCCCAAGGCTCAGTGATACTCAGTGAAACTCAGATACAAACAAATAAACACACACACACACACACACACACCTCTTTGTGACTGCTTTCGTCAGTAGCGGATTGATGTAGTCACCTGTAGTTTGTATGGAAGACACTGCAATCAGATAATTTCCAAGTCTGAGTGAAACTGAAAACTCCAACACAAACAAGAGATGGCACGCACTGGTTGCAGCACTAACGCACAACTTTTACTTTGAAGGCGAATTCTCTTATTTCTGGGTTGTGTCTCATTTTTTAAAGCTTTAATAATCTTTGGCTGGTAGTTACTAAGTGTTTACAGACAAATTGGTGTCTCCCATAGGAATTTATAGGTGACTACAGCAATCTGCTACAAAGGACAAGGCAATTCATGGTGCAGCACCCTCTTTGCAATTGATTTCACCTAGTGACAGCCAGCAGCCTCCAGGAACCCCATTTTGCCCCCATGATCAGTGGCTGTATCTGATCTAATATGCCAGACAGCTTTTGAAAAATGTGCACATGATGTCATGTGAGAAGCCAATATAAATTAAGTCCCCTTTCCTATACATTTTTATCCTATACATCTTACACTTGTCACACGTTTTTTAATGCACCTTTTTTGGGGGGGGTGGCAGGGTAAGGGTCTTTACTGGCATGATCGTTCAGCAACTATATTCTGTTGACCGAATATAGACTACCTTTAATTACCAGTTAGCAATAGCATAGTAATTATACAACAAGGGTCATCGAAATATCAAAAATATACTAGTCGAGTAGCTAAAGAAGTATTTCCTGTCTTAGTCCAAAAAACACTAACACATTGTTTGTATATTGCCTTTTACAAATCAGTTATCATTCCTTGGTAACCCCCCAAGCAAAACACACTTCCATATCCCATATCTAACTCTGCCTTTCTGCAGTAATTGTCTTCTACTTTCTTTGGTACTTGTGGGCTTTAATCTTGTTCTTCTTCAGTATTTAAGGATAGAACACTCTTTTAGTGTGGAAGAACTGCTGCCTTGATACATATGCTGCCTGATATAAAAAAAAATACAGTTACTGTTGCATTTTTCTATTAAACGGTACTGTAAGCATTGGCTATGGTGACATCTCTATATACAGCAGGTTGATTATTTCCCTCAGTGATCACCTTCTCCTACATTTTGATGCCAAACGGTGTTATGAGCCAACCAATGACGTTCTCTGTGGATATATATCACAATAAACAAGATGTGATTGGCTGATGCCTGCAATGGTGCTTCAACAGTTGAATTTCCCTCAGTTTTCAACAATTTCAAGCAAAGCAACGGATCCTTAATTCACTTCAGCATTGCGAGACATCCCCCCTTTTAAAGTGAATGAGAAGCAAAAAAAGTCAAAGCCCAAAATGCTTTTGTGTGAATCCTCCCTAAGACAGTCTTATCTGTCTAGCATAATAATAGTGTACTTCAGGTATATTGTTTATCACTCATCAAAGCTTCCCCAATCAAATTTTCACATTAAAAAAATAACTCAAATGTCCGTGTGAAATCGCTCACAGCTTCCACAGCCAGCTGAGCAGCTTCTGGACCTCTTGTATCTAATTTTTCAGATATTGCTGTTAAATAATTCTGTATGGTACAACAGTCTTACCCTGATTAGCCCCATTTACAGTACAGCAGGTGAAGCAAAAGGCACTGAAACTCTTTAATACTGTCAATATAAATCACCTGCCCAGCACACAGCATCAGACTTAATCAGTTATTAAGAACTAATATAACTGGTCAGAAAAGTGATATTAAGAACAGACAGCATCTATACAGTATTTTCAGTTAATGGACTATTTGACAAAATGTGTTTTAAAAAATAACAAATTCCAAATTAATATTTACATATTTGATACAAGTACAAGCATTCGGGGTAAATAATGGAATAATGTGTGAATGCTGGCAGACCAGACTTATGTATTATGTACATTAATTAAATAATGCTGTGAGAATTACAGTTAAGTGCAGTTCACCTCTGTAAGGCTCACATACCCTGACTGGTTTGGATTCAGGATCTTCTGTTAAGTAGTAATCTACACCATACACTCTCCACT